TGGGTGCAGGGTGCGCATGGAGGCTCTGGGAGGATGAAAATGGGCCTCCAAGAAGTCCGGAAACGGGCCTGTTTTTGGCTTCCGGAGGCCCTTTGGAGCCCGGGGGAGGCTGTTTTCACCCTCCCCGGCCTGAGGGATGCCTCCGGACTCTGGGGAAGGTGAAAACCGGCCTTCCCAATAGGCCACGCCCACCATGGCCACGCCCACCCAGCAACCGGGCAGAGAACCGGTTGCTGGGATTTCTGTACTGCACCCCGGGGCACAGCCTTCCCGTACGGGCTGCAGACTTGGCAAACGGTCTCACCTCTTAGAAAAGACTGAAGTGGGAAAGAACAGATGGAGAGATTCCCGCTCTGTAACACGATCCTGGGCAGAACAAAATCTAAAACTTAATGAGGTTTGAAAAAAAGAGAGAGAGAGAGAAAGAGAGAGAGAGAGAGAGACCGGGAGGAGGGAGAAAGAATGCCAGACGGGGGCGGCACTGGAGCCCTTTGGACCTGACCTTCTCCTTGCTCTGATCTCAAAGCCTTTGGAAGGATCTGATCGGGTGGCTTCCGGCAGGATTACACGCTCTCCTTTATTTAAGCTAAATCCACCGCCTCCTGCCCCCAAGGGATTGTGATCCCATTTCTAACGCTGTGTTAAAACTATCTGGGTAGGGTCAGCCTGAGTTTGATGACTCCCATGACTGTAAACCTTGTGTCTGGAACTTACGGGAATGGTAGTTTAGTAGTTTGGAACACCAACTGTTAAAACTGCTAAAGCATCCTACCTATCAATGAACTACTTCAGCTTCAACCAGAATAACACAGGGGCAAACAGTAGATGCAAACTCAAAGTAAACCGCTCCAAACTCGATTGCAGAAAATGCGATTTCAGAAACAGAGTGATCAATGCCTGGAACTCATTCCCTGACTTTGTTGTTACATCCTCAAAACTTCAATAGAATAGAAATTCTTTATTGGCCAAGTGTGATTGGACACACAAGGAATTTGTCTTGGTGCAAATGCTCTCAGGGTACATAAAAAGAAAAGATACATTCGTCAAGAATCATAAGGTGCAACACTTAATGACAGTCGTAGGGTACAACAAGTGATCAAATCATACTCGGAAACAGTCAATATAGATCGTTAGGATACAAGCGACAAAGTTACAGTCAGACAGTCACAAGTGGGAGGGGATGGGCGATAAGGAGTGATGGGAAGATTAATAGTAATAGTAATGCAGACTTTGTAAATAGTTAAATAGTGTTGAGGGAATTATCTGTTTAGCAGAGTGATGGCATTCGGGGGGAAAAACGTCCTTGTGTCTAGTTGTTCTGGTGTGCAGGATTCTATAGTGTTGTTTTGAGGGAAGGAGTTGAAACAGTTTATGCCCAGGATGTGAGGGCTCTGTAAATATTTTCACAGCCCTCTTTTTGACTTGTGCAGTATACAGGTCCCCCAATTGAAGGCAGGTTGGTAGTACTTGTTTTTTCTGCAGTCCTAATTACTCTCTGAAGTCTGTGTCTGTCTTGTTCTAACCCTAACCTTAACCCTAACCTTAAGCTGTCTACCGTGGGCCTCACTCCCTTCCTAAGAGGTCTGTAAGGGGGCGTGCATAAGCGCACCAGCGTGCCCACCGTCCCTGTCCTACTGTTCCCATTTATTCCTACACATTTATTATGTATATACTTATAGCAGTTTATACTTATATGTTTATATGTTATGTTCATACTTATATTTGTTTTCTCATACATGCTTGACAAACTAACTAACTAACTAACTAACTAACTAACTAAAATAAAATAAAATAAAATAAAATAAAATAAAATAAAATAAAATAAAATAAATAAATTGTGCCTCTCCCTGCTAGAGGAAGGCTAAATCTTGGCTCAACTAATTCTCTTTTAACACTCTGCTTCTTCCTTCAAGAAGCATCTACCCAGATAGTTTTAACACAGTGTTAGAAATGGGAGCACAATTCCTCGGGGAGGGATTTTAACTTAAATCAGGGGTGTGAAACTCAAGGCTTACGGGCCGAATTTGGCCGGCAGGGTGCTTAGATCTGGCCCGCAGTGCTGGCCTGGAAACAGCAAAGGACTGGTCCGCAGTGCCTCCGTTTTTTGCTGACAGAGGACTAGCAAAACAAACTTTTTTTAAAAAAGAGAGAGAAACGTTTCCCCTTTTGCATTTGAGCATGCAAGAAGGGACAGGAAAGGAGAAAGGGAAAGAGGAAAGACAAAGAAAAAGAAGGGAAGGTGGAAGGAAAAATAAGGAAAGAGAGAATGAAGAGGGAAGGAAAAAAGAAGAAAAGGAAGGAAGGAAGGAAGGAAGGAAGGAAGGAAGGAAGGAAGGAAG